AAGTGTTGTTCCCACAGACGGCGTCAAATGTTGATGCATAAAATCAGTGAGGACTTTGGTACAACAGAAAGTGTTAAGTTTGTGACCTTCGCTAGATTGCTCTGGTCACTAGTGTGGATAAGTATGCAAATGGATAGAGATAGGGAAGCAAACACAAGATGTACGTGGTTCACCCAGATTGGCTACGTCCACGAAGTAGATGAGTTCTCATTAATTGTGAAGGATTTACACAAGTACATAGGTTCAAGCTCTCCTTTAGTGAGTATAGTGAATGATTTAGTACAAAATGACATTCGGAAATATTGTGAGAGAATGATCTCTATTTATAGATGAGAGTTTCTAGTTTCATTCTGACATTGACACGTGTCGTGTTATGATTGGCTTCTGATGTTGACATGTGTCGCGCTATGATTGGCCTCCTGGTTTGAGGGAAACACTTCGGGGTCCTTGACTGTATAACGTTAACCGGTGCTCAGTAGTTTCGGGATTGGTCAAGTATGGTACAAACACAGTTAATCATGATAGTTGATGTATTAAGTATATGTCTGCCACATTTTTTTATGAGCTAGAATGATCTAAGAATGTGCTTTTGTAGCAATTTTCAAATGGGATAATTCCATCATATAGTTGCATCAACTAACTGATTGATCAATGTTGGTGCACCAATCATCCACTGATGCTGCATCATCGCTTCTAGTGACTGCACTCAATGAAGGAAGGGATGTAATCATGGACGGCACTCTATCATGGCTGGCCTTTGTTGAGCATACAATAGACATGGCCCGGGATGTTCACAACTGCCGATACCGCATGGAGGTCGGATACAAGGTGGAGGAGGATGGCACCGTTACCGAAAACTATTGGGAACGAGTGGATGAAGAAGAGGATCATCAGGATCAGCAGAAGATGATAGATAATGGGGAGGAACCCAGGAGAAAACCCTACAGAATATAGTTGGTTGGAGTGGTTTGTGATGCTTAATTTAGCTGTTGTTAGAGGCATAAGAAGAGTTATCATGGTCGGGAGGGCAGTGAGGGTCAGTTCACAGTTGAATTCCCACAAGAGATTTGCTAGTTCATTTTATAGATATTGCCAGCTTGTTGACAATGCCAGGCTCTACTGCACCAATGCTACGGCTGGTCCTCCAAAACTAATTTAATTTTGTACTCTCAAAAGCTACTTACTTTGAAGTAATGTTGTTATGGAGACCACAATCTTAGACGACATTTTCTGATGATGTGTTAATTCAACCACCACATTGACGGACTCATTTGGAAATATTTTTTTAGAAAGCACTTTTGCACATTTAAAACGTTTTTATTAGAAGGATATATATATATATATATATATATATATATATATATATATATATATATATATATATATATATATATATATATATATATATATATATATAAGTTGTATAGAAAATGATGAAATGCTTTTTGAAAGAAACACAAATTAAGTCATTTATCATAAAGTCAAAATCTTTTACATCCTAGAAACGATATTAACTTTTTCTTTCAAGCACTGCCAAAACGGCCATATGCATGGCATGAAATTTACTAACTTGGATTTGTGCATGATAGGAGCATATTTATGCGACTTAGTTGGCTTGTTCTTAAGCATTTATGTTGTTTTTCTTTAGTTATTTTAGTGTTTAAAGTCATTTTCGTGCAATTTCAGGTTTAGAGACGAAGTATGCAAAGAAGTGCAAAATGGAGCATTTTAGAGCAAAATTGAGCTGGAATGGAGTGTATGCTAATGGAGCACAAGGAATGGACGAGTTTGAAGGTCAAAGGAGCTTAAGAAATGAAGAAATGAAAGTGAAGAACAAAGAATTCAGATTTGGAAACCAAAGTTTCTAAAGTTGGAAGTTTCTATTCTTGGAGGTTTCCATTTTCGAGAGTTTCTATTCTTGGCTTTGGGCTTTTAGATGACCTAAACCCTAATTCCTTGTGGACCCTAACCCTAGCCGCACCTAGGCCTCTAGAATATCTGATTTCCTTGCCTTGCAAGGCATTCTAGAAGGCCCATCTCTAAACCCTAACCCTAGCCGCACCTTAGGCCTTATTCCCACTAAAAATCTGATTGTTTTAACCTAATTTCTGGTGGATTTGGGCTTCTAGAAACCCTAATCTGATTGCTAGGGTTTTGAAGTGCCTATATATACTCATTAAACCCTTTTGGCCGGAGATATCACCTCCCATATACATCATTCACGTCAGAAACAAAGAGGCTCTCTTTGCCGCACCTTTCCACCACCATATTCCATATTTTCTGCCCAAAATCATCCCTAGCCGCACCACCCATCAACCCTACACCTTTCCATACCATTCCCCATCCATTCTACACCATAAATACCACCCAAAACCTGTTCTAAAGTTCTCTGCCGTAGCAAGGAGGAAGGAGAATTCTTGGATGCGCTTGCTGCCAAGTTGGAGCGTTCTAGGTGTTTTCTTTCTTTGGATTTTAATTTCTAAATTTATGTATCTTTGCTTTGCGAGTATGAGGAACTAAACCCCCCCTTGGCTAGGGGGGGATTCGAAACCATGTTTATGCTTGCTATATGATTTGATTACTTCTAATTGCGTTTTCATAAGTTGTGAATTCAATTTACTTATCTACAAGAATTAAAACTGATTTTTGTATGTTGGTTGAGGGTCGACACTTAATTTGCATGCATGAGTTTGATGCTAGGATATAAGGAAATTTCACCTAATCGTTATGGACTTATATTCATAAGTAGTAAAGGTTGATGATCTCAATCGCGTTAAGTAAATTCTTGGCATAAGTTTCATGCAATCATAGTAACAAGTGCTTCGTCAATGCTTATGGTTTTCATAGAACTTAATGATTCTTGCTTGTATCTCTATTATGCAATCATGTAGGGGACTTGTGGGGAATGCTTTGGGTTGTCGTATGCAATCATCCAATTCAATAACGTTAGGAAAATCTGAAGGTTAATTTAAGCGGACCTAATTAACTTGGGGCGTTGAGAATTCATGGGTTATTGAAAAGCAATTGGAAATCGTTTTGAATGCAAGTATAACATGTGTGGAGATGAACCCCTTAGCTAGCTTTCTATCCATTCAATTCAATCAAATTCGTTTTAAAATCTGTTTTGATTTACAAGTTTATGTTTTGTTTTCAATTTCGTAAAAACCAAATCCCCCTTTGTTTTCAAGTGTCAAATTAGTTAGAGAGTGTGTTAGTTTGTGTTTTTAAGTGTTTTGAGTCAAGTTAAAACCTATTTTCGTCAAAATCTTGTTTAGAGTTCAAAACTGCCTAGAAAGTGGTTTTAAGGCAGTTTTGAGTGTTTTTGTGTTATTTTGAGTCTTTTGGTTTGTTTTGGTGTTTTAAGTTATAGTTTTACATTCTTTGAGTCTAGTTTAGTGTTTTAAACTTTGTTTTTACGTTTTTGAGTCAGTTTTCAAGTGATTTAGCAATCCCTCCTAATCCCCGGCCTAGAACGATCCCTACTTACATACTTACTACAATTGATAAAAAGAGGGTTAATTTGAGTGCTAGTTAATATCATATCAGTGCATAAAATGCAGCTAATAGGATGGAAGGATGGAGACAACAAGTTGCTAGTCGATCATGAAGAGATAAAGTGCTTGACAAACTTAAAGCAATTTGAACTCCAAGGTAGAATCCATATACGAGCTTTACATGCAGAACCCAAGCCGTACTCTCGAGCCTGGTTCTCTCTGGAAAGATATTGTTTTGTGCTCCTCAAGGTCCAGCCTTCAGCTTAAGCTTAAGGGCTATCATTCAAAAAATTGAAATTTCATACACTGCTAACAAATTGGGTTAATCATCAACTTAGTTCTTGTTTAATTTTGTGTTTATTGGAATTCTGTGCATACAAAAATGAAATATATAATTCACTGTCATCAGATATCATAATAATTCTCTCGTCGAATATTGCTACTAATAAGCCCAAAAAAAATCAAGGAGACCAATACATTATACAAGAGTACAAAACACTTCAACAAAATTCCGTCCCCGAAAACCTCACTTTATATATACGATTGCATGTGCCTTAACAAAAATGATACATAAAAAATGTAGACTCAAAACTCTCCCCATATGTTGTCACTTTAGTAGTGGCTACTGTCATTGCGGAATTTGCTTCTTGTTTTGTTATGAGATGAGCAGGATAAGTTGAACCTTTATTAGGTCATTGTTCTGTTGTTGAACTATGAGAATAACAACTTATACGAAACAAGTTTACTTTTACGTGATATTTAGATTCAACAATACATTGCCACGTAGAGAAAAATTTGCTCATGACGATATGTTTTTGGACAAGAAACGTCACGTGATGATGAACCTGTTTCATATAAGTTATTCTCGTGTTGAAGACCCTTTTATGTCTAGTTTAGATATTTAGGAAAGAACACTACTTAGCTGCTATAAATTTAGCAGCAGCCAAATAGTTTTCTTTAGGAAATATATTGTCCTTCCAAGCAAAATAGTTGACTTGGGCACCATGGACACACACACAAATTAAAAAAAATGAAAAATAAAACTTACTGATCATAGTATGGACTCAAGTGCAACAGTTGTCATCATTTAGTACTACGGTCTAACGATATGCCTCTTCACTTGTAAGTAAAAGGTTTCTCGCCAAAGATGAATTTGTACCACATTATTACTAGTCCATTATGAGGTTAAGCCCATCTGTTTTCCTTAGTATAGATAATAACGTTCGTTAAATTTTTTTTTTGTAACAATTGTCAATAGTTTAATTTGAAGCCCAATTAACAGCCCAATTCCAACCTCAGACAGTCAGATCCGGATGAGAATCCTCTTTGAAGAGATCTTATGAATCCTCATACATCGTATAGTTAGTTTTTGTTAGATACTATTTATATTTAATTTTAAATAATAAAATTTAAATAATTTCTGATCATACGATATACGATAAATATTTCAAATGTAAATATCACTAAGATTTCCACAATTTGAATCCGAATGAAATCTATATCCGTCAGACCCTAGGGGTTAAAACACAAAACCTGAGCCACCACCAAACAATCGAGATTATATAAATTCAGCTTGAAAAGAAAAACCTCTTGTTTCGGAAAACCCTAGCGGCCACTCACAGATCCGAATTCTTCCAAGCTTTACTCCCGCCTAGCGTTTCCGATACCGAAAGCTACACCATGGTAAGCCTCCAAATCCCCACTCTCTACCTCTCTCTGAATCGCATCATTTCACTGTTACTTTCTCTCTCCTAACTCTCTCTCTCTCTCTCTGTGTTTTCTGGGTGTTTCAGGCTGACGTTGAGGCCGATGTTGCGGCGGCCGGAGTTCCGAAGAAGAGAACATTTAAGAAGTTCAGCTTCAGGGGCGTCGATTTGGATGCTCTCCTCGACATGTCCACCGATGAGCTTGTCAAGCTCTTCCCTGCCAGAGCTCGCAGAAGGTAATACAGATGGCTCTATGCGATCTCTTTGTTTGATTTATTGGTGGTTTTGTGAATTGGGTTTGAATTGAATTTTGGAATTTTCGTGGTTGAAAGGTTTCAGAGGGGTCTGAAGCGCAAGCCTATGGCTTTGATCAAGAAGCTGCGCAAAGCGGTAATATTTCAGAAATTATTGGTTGAATTGTGTTGCAGATTTTGTGTTTAGATATTAGACTTTAGTTTGCTGATGTGGTTCGTGATGGTTTAAAATGGGAATGATGCGTTATTTATAACTGAGATATGTTTGTCCAGTTATCAGCTTATTTGTTTTCGATGCATAATAGTTAACGCCAATGTCGGTCCTGAGCTCGTCCACCCTCTGTCAAGCATATGTTCTATGCACACTATGCATCTAATTCATATAATGAATCTAATCTCATATCAGGAATTGATTTAACTTTGTCTACATGTGATTTGTGTTCAGGGAATGGGGACCTGATATCCCTGATCTACTTAAAATATATGCTTTGGTTTTATAGAGTAAACACATGGGAATTGTGTGGATTTTCTTGTCCGTTTGTTTTATTACGCTTACAGAAGTTTGGCTGACAAATTGATTGATCAATGTATAAATAATGTAGGAATGACTTGTATACTCGAATGTAGTAGTCTATACACCCCTTAGAAGGCATAATAGAAATGGGACTACTGTTTAGGACACTATTCTGTTGTTGGATTTAGTTGAAGCTGTATTTGATTGATTGGATATGGATTTTGATATATTATCATGAATAGTTTACAAGGAGCAATTATTAAAACAAAAGTTTGAAATGAATGCCTATATAAGACGTTGCCTTGATTAATCACTATTCTCTAGTGATAAATGAACGTTGCAGCATACTATTTTAGTGTCGGGATCAAGCATCTCTTCCTTTTCGCCGTTCAGTTCTGATGCATATTGTCATATGCTTCCATGGTTGAGGAAAGTGTGGACCTAATGCGTGTTTCTTTGTGCTTGTAACAGAAAAGAGAGGCTCCACCCGGTGAAAAGCCAGAGCCAGTCCGTACTCACCTGCGTAACATGATTATAGTTCCGGAAATGATTGGAAGCATCATTGGAGTGTACAATGGTAAGACCTTCAATCAGGTTGAAATCAAGCCTGAGATGATCAGCCACTACCTTGCTGAGTTCTCAATCTCATACAAGCCTGTGAAGCATGGTAGACCTGGTATTGGTGCCACGCACTCTTCGAGGTTCATTCCTCTTAAGTGAGATTTTTGCCAGCGGTCTAGATGTCTGGTCATGTTATTTCTTTCAGACTTTGATGTCGATCGCATTTTTGATCATTGCTTTTCAGTTTTGTTATATTATGACCATATCTTGATTACTATTTAGATGGAAGTTATATTTACTATTGTGGTCCTTTGGATGCGCAGACTATGATTGGAGCGCACAATTTAATGTCAGCATAGTTGAATTTAAATGCGTGTTCTCTTGAGTCACGACAGTATGTCATTGTTCTATATTTTCTCTTTGCCAAAGAGTTTGCAGCCAATTTTCAGTTCTCCAGCATCCAATACTTTCAGGCGATACACAAATGGTTGCTACAGAGTGACTAGGCAGACCGCGAACTTCAACTTCGTTGCCATTCTTTGAACGAACCGAAGTTTTACAGTTAGAAAGCATCCCAGGGACAACTCCCCTCTCAATAGAATAAAGCAGTCATGATCCAAAAATCATTTGGGGATTGGGAATGATGAACACAAATATATAAAGAGTCTCCCAAAACCTCCAAATTCAGCTTCGAATAATCATCGGCAGGGGTCGGTATGGAAAACTGGTGATATTTCTCAGTGGAAGTATCAAGGGTTAGAACTACGTATCCTTTTTCATCCAACTTGTTACGCATTAGCCAACATAAAGCACCGTTCGAAAAACACGAAATTACCGAAAACACGATAAATACCTTTGCAAGTCTTGGATCCTTTTCCAGGAGTGACCTGAGTAATCACAATACTGTTAGGTTCAATTTTCGCCAAAAGCGAATTTGAATTTATTGTAAGGCTTGCCCACTCCCCCATCCACTATGTTTGGATGAAGAAATTTAAAATGAAGGAAATTGAAATGATGGGATTTTAGTTTTTAGAATTTATGAATTTTCTTGTTTGGTTAACCTAAAAGAATAATGGAATTGAATACGGAATTTATTATTTTTAAATTCTCAATCATAGATATTGGGAAAATGAAACCTATTTATCAATTTTTTTTTCCACGCAGATTTCTAAATTTTTATGTTTATGAATCCAAACAAGGAAATTGGTCCATGTCAATTTATAAATTTTGACTTATAAAAATTCTAAATTTATTTCTCCCATTCAAACATAGTGAGGGTTTAGAGGTGAATTTTGTGCATTTGGGATATAGGGTTGGCTCCTTCTAGTGTACTGTGTTTTGGATCCAATGACAAGCCTTTTTAGTTTCCCAACACCTTGTTAATTTATGTCTATTGATCTTGAATTCATATTATCTAACGGCTAAAAATTGAGAAGAGTGTATGAGAAATAAAAAATTAGTGTGTAAATAGTACCACTCTTAAAAAAACACATATCCTAAAGCACATCATTTTTCCTTTATAATAAAATGCAAGTGCTTCATGGCTTGAAGTTTCTGAAAGAAATACGTAGAAGGAGCTTTTTTTTTTTACTCCAAAGTGTTATAAACATTGTATTTAAGTGTGATTATGTAAGTCTTAGATTAGATTTGATACTAGTTATTCTTCTCTATTAGGACTTGTATTCCTTGGAGGAGAATGATTCTTTCCTCTCTTATTACTATAAATAAAGGCATTGCATAGGGGAATAACACATCATCTACACAACTCTACAAACACATCTCTCTCTACTCTTTCTCTCTCTCTCTCTCTCTCTCTCTCTCTCTACTCTTTCTTTCTCTCTCTCTCTCTCTCTCTCTCTCTCTCTCTCTCTCTCTCTCTCTCTCTCTCTTTCTCCCAGGCCCCCTCTCTCCCTTGTCAGATTAATATAAGCCACAACACTTTATCAGCACGCTCTTACCGCTGTGCTTAGGAATCTAACGTGGAAGTTTTCTGCATCAAACCAGCTCATCAATATCATCACGCAATCAGGTTCTTCCAAAACAACGATTTTTATCTCAATATTTTTGTAGCCTTGATAGCATAAACATTCACCAGAATGCATGACCCAACTTTACGCTTTTTGAATTTTAGATTCTGGAAATTGAATTATATGTTATATATGCATGAAGTTGAATTAATTTATAATCTAGAAATTGAAAAGAAAAAAAAATTAATTCTAGGGTTTTAGAAAAACCCAAATCGCAAGCCGTTGGCCTCAGTTGTGCCGCGTCATCGAGCCACCATCACCAGGCCTACAACCTGCGTGGCTAAGCTACATCGTAAGCAGTGAAGCTGAGAGCTAGTAGCTCTCTCTCCCTAAAAACCAAAAAAATGACGTCGTCTATGGCGTTGCCCCTAAACCCACACTTGCTCGTGGATGAGCCACGACATATAACGCCGATTTCCATTGGGAATGATGACCTGCAGTCGTATTTTTTTAGGTCAAATCCATCATCTCCGACGATGATTGTAGAATTGATTTCTTGAGGATTTCAGTTCGAATCCCCATGGTTTTCACAACCAATGTTGAAAAACTAAATTTTTCTGTCCCAAATAGGGTGCCAGTTCGAACCTGTGCTTCACCCTTACCAAAATTGACCAAAACACAGCCGCCAGAAGTGGCGGCGCTGGCCTCATCTTCGGCGAGTTTACCTAGGAATGTAGGGATGTTCTCTGGTCTGAACTCGAGCCCATATGGGCTTGGCTTTATCGTGGTCAGCACACCAGCCCTTTTGGGCTTTGGTGTTTTCCTTAGGCTTGCATCATAGAGCCCAAATGGGCCTCTATTGGACTCAGCTCGTGACACCGGCCCGTAGGGCTATGGTGTCCCTGCGCCTGCAACACACTAAATCCTAACCCCTGGCTGGTGCATTTGTGTACCCACCCGCACACGATCCCGCCTGATACTGGAGTATCGGTGCATCGCACCATGTCGTACTTGATCCACGCCTATCTCGACCTCTGGTCTATTGGGCTAGCAGCCAATTTGTGCTTAACCAATCCAACTTTGGGCCTGGACCCCACGACATAAATTTGCTCAGCCCAACCGTTGGCTTTAGCCCACTGTTTTGGGCCCCGAGTTTAATCACTTATAATTTTTAGGCATTTTTATAATTCTTCACCCACACTTTAATTTTGGCCTGAAATCTAAATAAATAATTCAATTATATTTCTAGATTTGAAGATCTATTTGCATATTTTCTTGTTGCATAATTCTTGCGAAACCCAAAGTTTCTAGAAACATGCCTTGTTTGAAAAACCTGAAGTTTTTCCTTAAAAATATCACCCATGAAAACCCAAAGCTTTTTCTTGTAACTTTAAACCAATAAATGTCTATTAGAACCTAAATGTTCTACTTCTATGTGAATAGATCGATTTTTCTACATTACACTAACCACATTTTTGTCCATTTATTTTGTGATAGGGACATGCCAAATTTGAACAAACTCGACTTCACCGCTTTAGAGGTCTATGGAAGAAACTACCTCAAGTGGGTCCAAGATGTGAAGCTCCACCTCACCGAACGAAGTTGCGTCTTGCCATTGAAGATGAGACGGACAACCCGGTTGGCAAAGCTGAGAAAGCTACTGCTATGATCTTCATCTAAAGAAAAATTCATGATGCCCTGCAAACCGAGTACCTTGCTAAGAAAGATCTACGAGCACTATGGGTTGCTTTGGTTGATCGCTTTGATCATCAAAAAGACATCTTCTTGCTTGAAGCAAGACATGACTGACAGCATATACGCTTCCAAGACTTTAAGTCTGTGAATCAATATAATTATAAAGTTTGTCGAATCCTATCACTTCTCAAATTCTGTAATGAGAACTTGACCGAAGAGGATCCCTTGGAGAAGACCTATTCGACCTTCTTTGTTACCAATATTGTCCTATAGAAACAATATAGAGCTCAGAAGTTCACTAAGTTTTTAGATTTGATTTCTGTTTTACTTAGCACTGAAAAACAGAATCAGCTATTGATGAAGAATCATCAAGCTCGACCTAGGCACACATACTAAGTTTTCAAATTTGATTTCTGTTTTACTTTTATGCATGTGACCAGTTCAAATTAAGGTATGACTAGTGGGAAAGTTAGTTGTCTGGCAGATAGTGCAACCACACACACTATTTTGCGTGAACACATCTATTTCAATAACTTCATACCTAAGAATGCACCTTTAACAACCCTTTCAGGCCTATCCAACCTAATCGAAGGATACGGTAAGGCACGTATAATGTTGTCCAATGGTACAATCTTGACTATTGATGAAATACTCTATTCTCCACGTTTCGGAACAACATTGTTGAGTTTCAAGGACATTAGATACTATAATTACCACTCTGAAACCTATGTAGAAAATGGAGTTTAATTTATGTGCATCACTTCCTACTAATATGGCGAGAAGCATATTCTAGAGAAGATGGAGCGTATCTTAAGTGATATGTATACTACAACCATGCGCCCTATAGAGAGCCACTATGTGGTCGGCCTTACCTTAGGGACTGCGTATGAAATTACACTTTGGCATGATCATTTGGGACACCCTGGATGAACAGTGATACGACGTATCCTCAAATATTCACACAAGCATCCACTAACCCGAAGTTTAGGTTCGATTCAAGGAATCGCATATCAAACATGCTCAATGGGAAAGCTTATCATTCAGCCTTTTTATGACAAGATTCATTCAAATCCTCTTATTTGTCTGCAAAGAATTCGTTCGCATGTCAAACCTGCTTAATGGGAAAGCTTATCATTAAGCCTTCTTATGACTAGATTCGTTCGAATCCTCCTATTTTCTATAAAAGATTCAATGACCATTTATGGACACCCTTCACGTGGACCATTTAGATATTTTTATGGTATTGGTTAACACTTTCACACGTTGGTCACCCTTGCGCTTATTATCCACAAGGAACGCTACATTCTCTAAAATGTTGGCTCAGTTTATCAAGCTCAAGGCTTACCACCATGATTATTCGATCAAGTCTATTTGATGGATAATGCTGGAGAATTTACATATAAACTTTTGATAACTATTGCATGTCGGTTGGTGTTGCAGTTGAACATCTAGTATCCCATGTTCACACCCAGAACGGCCTTGTAGAGGCATTCATTAAGCGCTTACAAATGATTACTCGATCGTTGATCATACGTACCAAGCTCCCAATCACTGCTTTGGGCCATGCAATATTGCACGCATCTATGTTGGTCTGCCAGAGGCCTATTGCGACCTAACCATATAGCCCCTTTTAGTTAGTTACCAGATACTCACCCAACATATCGCATTTGCGCGTCTTTGGTTATGCGGTTTATATGCCGATTTCACCACCCTTACGTACAAA